CGAGTTTACAGAGGTCAATTATTACTGTCTAATATTTCTCGTTGACTCCTCCCTAACTTCGATCATGTTTTTATTACGCAAGCTGCGTTCCCTCTGTCTTCGTTTCTTGTGTACTACCAATTTCAATAGTTCCTCTGATAGAATTTATTTGAAATTGAATCTGGGTTTTATAAAAATTATTTAGTAGTCTCGTTTGTAATTAGAAGTTGCTAGGGGGACCCAGCTGCGAAAACGCAGTGTAAAAACAAAGTTCGGTGCGGTTAAGCCAACGCGTAAATTCCTTTGGAAAAATGAGATACGCGTGTGTACAGTGTTACTGGGGAAACTTATTGCCCGCTGCATTATCACCTTCATTATCCTCACCGCCTTTCCATTGTACACATTTACAATAGTTTTGTCAAAGGAGCCCTAACGTTTTAGTGATTCAAAATTATATATACGGAAAGGGGCGATTTTATCTATAACTAATTTTTAATTCTATGAGAGATGTTATTAGCAAAAATTGAAGGTGGAACTACTATCTACGAGAAACCTTCTAAAATATTTCTCAATAACTCAAACAATTTCGTAGTAACCATCAAAAGTGGCCCATTAAAGTAACCTCATTCCTTACTAATGAGATTTTCCAAAACAATAGCGACTTCTAATTAAACTTTTTATTTTATTAATCATGAAATTAATCTATTCTTTTGTCCAAACCTTCTACACGAAGTTATGCAAATCTAAAAACTGAAACTGAAAGTTATGCAAGTCTAAAATCGTACTATTCCCATTAAAAAGCCAACATTATGAGACTATTTTCTTATTAGTAATACTCGAAAAAAGGTATTAATTTTTTATTTATAATTCCTACAATTTCCATTCTACAATGAACTGTTATCAATGAAAATCAAAGCTAACACCAGCATTCACAAGAAACCTTCTATAATATTTCTCAATAACTCAAACAGTTTCTTAGTAATCATCATAATTGCCCCATTAAAGTGATTTCATTCCTTGCTAATAAGATTTTGCAAAACAATATCAATTGCTAACTACACTTTCTATTTCCTTAATCATCAAATCAGTCTGTTCTTTTATCCAAGCCTTCTGCATGGAGTTACTTATGCAAATCTAAAAACTGTAAATACCATTTAAAACCGAAAGAAACACCTAAAACCGAAAGAAACACCTAAAACCGTGCAGTTCCCATTAAAAAGCCAAAAGAAATGAACATGGCCTCGATTTGGTAAATGTTTTGTTTTGCAAGTCTATCGACCAAATGGGGGTTCCAGTTGCGGGGAAGGGGAACCGGAGAGCGAGTATCGTAACCGATTTTCCTGAATCGAGTGACGCAGCGAATACCGGCGAGCTGATACCGAGAACAAGACAGCAAGTCTTGGGGGTCTTAGGTGCGAGTGGGAACGCGGATCTTATTTATAACGAGCGACGGGACCATCGTACGATGCCGCCACGACCAATCGCGTTCCATCTCGCTTCTCACTCTGTCCTTGCCACGGTTCGCACGCAATTGCAATCCTACCGGTACACGTGTTACTTAAAAGCAAATCTAACGTCAAATGAAAGCATTATCTTTCGAAAACTAGATTTCATTTCAATTTCAAATATAATGAATACCGTTAGAAATTTTCCTCATACGGAATTTGACGTAGGAAACCAGATTTCAATTTTATCCAGATCTTCATTTCCTCCTGAAGAATTGAGAAATACACTAGATCACATTAGTATTTTAGTAGAACGATACAGAATATGATTCACTAAAGAAATTGTAGCATAAATAAGGAACCAGTCTTAATTTCAATTTCAAATATAATAAAATCCATTACAATTTCTTCTAATAATAGAGTTTGCACGTTCCAAAAAAGATTTCAATTTTTATTTTAATTAGTAATAACTTCATTTTGAAAAATTGAAAAGCTGAAGTGATCAACTGGGATTACGTGGATTTTTGTTATCAATAAACTTCTGTGTTTAATGTGGGGCTTTGATAAGTCGTCAGTTATCAAAAATTATCATGGAAATTAACCTTATTACGTCTTTGATAAGTCTGTATATATAAAATATTATCATGTAAATTAACCCCAAGGAGACATGGGTTTCCCTAACGTACACACTCACCAGTTATCACATGAACCGGAAATTGATTAAAACATTAATGAATAGATTAGAAATCAACTAACTGCATACTTTTGAAAATAAACCGACCTCTTCTCTTATTCCTGCTGCTAAAAAATTAATACCATACTACTAACAATTACTTCTACAATATTCGAGTTACAAGAAAATTATATAGGACCTTATTTGTAGTTGGTAGCAGTAGTTACAACTTTCGTTTCAATCACTTTTTCATATGATCAATAATGAACGAGTTATTAACAATAAACTGATACATAATATTGAAATTCTATTACTATATAAGTAGTCTCATGTTTTTGATAATTACTCATAAAATATTCTAGATACGAGAAAACTGTATAGGACCTTATTTATAGGGAAGAGCTGGAGCTACAAGTTTTGTCTGACACATTTTTTGATAGGTTCAATAATTAACGAGTTACTTGAAATAAAGTGATAGATAGTGTAGGAAACAGTGGAATACCATACTGGTAGCGATTAGTCCTGAAATTATTCGAGATAGAAGAAACTTGTACAGAACCTTATTGGTAGATTACATTATCACCCAAGACTCCTGTTTAAGTCATTATCCTTTATCAATTATAGAATTATAAACAATTGATTTTCGATAAAATAAGTAAATGGTTCGTAAATTCTAGAACAGTCTCAGTAGCACTCGAAGCAGATATAGACGATTCCGAAAATAATCGTGCAGGTAACGCGTTTATCCACGTGGTGAACGAATCGTCCGTTACATCGTACGACATGACGTAGCACGTCGTGATTGGTGCTTACGATGGGTGTGATCGCGTGGTCCCACGTTGTCCTGCTACCAAGAATTCCAACGATTCCCCGCGCGAGATCCCCCATTCACTTTCCCAGCCAACACGAACGAACGTCCAACGACGAATTCGCTACAAAGAATTCAATTAGAATGGTCGATTTGAAAATCGTACTTTTAGGAATTCCATTCGCAACTCTTAACTAGAAGAAAGAACGGAGTCTTAAAACTCGTTCGAAACTGAAGAACAGCGACTCCTTTCGCGCAGCTGACAACCTGAGATGAATAGGTAACAGAACAATAGATAGGTAACAGAAACCGGTCGTTTCCATTATGCGATACACTGGCAAATAGTTCGATTCTTTCAAAAGTTTCTGACAAAAGTTGAAAGCAGGAAATAGTAGAAACTGTTTTAGAACGAATCGATTTGGAAAGCTAATTAGCTTCTTTGTAAAGGATTTGCGTAAAGAAGACCGACAGATTATGATAATCGAAATCACGAATCATGAATTTGTAACAGAGTATTAGGTAAAAACGTTATTAAGAAACACCGAAGCTATAATATTATGAGCTACAATACAACAAATTTCTATAATTCTTCTAAGTCGACTCCTTTTATTGTTGGAGTAATCGTCAAGAATATGAGACTAGATTCTTAGTAATAGAACCTCGAGAGTGTCAATTTTTTAATAAATGACGTCTTTATTTTTAATTCTACAAAAGAATGTTATTCGAAAAAGTCGAATCTAATATTATTAGCTACGAGAAAAGGTTCTGTAACTCTTTTATAAGCAATCGTCTAACTAAGGTATAGAGGTAATAACAAATGAATTTTTAATTAAACATTCCAAAGACCAAAAACTTCGACTCTACACGATCCCACACTAAATTTCGTACTCAGTATTCAATTCTCTAAGATGAGCAGCTCCTGTGAATTCTAAACCATACCCTATTCAATAAACTAAAATACTCGTATAAATTTTAAACCAATCGAAACATCTTGAATACCCATGTACGTACAAAACAAACAAATTCTCTAACAAAACAGGCCGAAGAGTTCGTTTCTTTCAATTTACGAGAGACACAGTAGCAGTTTAATTGACCAATTAAAGCTCTCAGAAAAAGAAGAAACCTCGATTCTCCCTTATTATTACGAGCGATCCTTAGCTATTGACGCAATGCAATGCTTGTTATCAATTCAGTTCCTCAGGAAATTCAATATTGAATTAGGAAAAACGTTTGCAAAATAGATATGTATATAGATTGACGTAATAGTATAAATTGAACTGTTTACGAGATACAATAGAGCGCAGTGGGAATCAAGGCCGCGCGATGCTGCGTAGGTCAGTTAGACAAGGAAGCCGCGCGATGTAAACAAAATTTGCGTCGCATCCAAGGGCTGAGAAACCAAAATAATCTCGCTATCTCGACCCACTACCGAACACGTATTATCGAATCTCGTGTTTACTCGCCAAATATTAATTCATTACGCGAAAGCCTGTGAAGATTTTATAATTTACGTAAGGAGACACATGAATATCATACAGATACACATAAATACATATAACAGAAATGTAATAGATTCATACAAATTGTATATAAATTCATGCTTTGGCATAATTTGTGATCTATGTACTTGATTTCTTTTTTAATTTACGATTGACATAACAGAATGGGTGAGCGTATTCTCTGGGAAATTTTATACATTTCTTTCTACTATAAATAATGAATGATTTAATTTAGAAAACATGTACCTCACATGTACTAGTAGTATGGTAGTGGCGTCTCTGAATACTTTCGGAAGTTCAGACACGTTGAAGTCAGATTAACTAAAATGCTAAATACGTAAAAAAATCGTATTTAAAGATATTCGTTTTGAATTTACTAATATCAAGTACTAAGTCAATGAATGAATTCCTAGACTCTGCACGTGACTGCAATTAAATTAACTAATTTCAAATAAATTGTAAAGTAACTAAAAGTTTTAAATAAAATTAACGTTTTCTACAGTCAAATCTTCACGTGTTTGTAGGTATGTCGCATTCATATACGATTTCGACATGTTTCTAAATAAATTATTGATAAGAATATGTATTTAACTCACATGAGTAGAAGCCAGTGACGATGAGTGCCAGCCAGGATAACTGCTTCTCGACTAGGTTCCTCATTTTCCGCTGAACTCCTCCCAAACGAATCACAAATAAACTTGTTCGGTTCCTAAGAAGAAAGTCCGTCGCTCCTAATCTTCTGTGTGTCAATAATCAACTGAACGATCCAATTGATTTCACGCGGGATCAAACACTAGAAACGGGCGTCCCACCGGATCAACGATCGATACGATTATCGTAAAGTTAGCATCGATCCATCGATCTATTGTCTGAACTTTGAATGCCACCTTCACGTTGAAATTTTCCAAATCACTTTCCTAAGCCACTTGATTCGACGAAATCCAGTCTTTAATCCCGTTAACTACCTTCAAAATACTCCGCAATCGTCGGCGAATCGCCTGAGCTCGTTGAAGTCCGCAACGATGAACAACACCGTGAAATAACACAGTTGATGTAGATTAATCAACTACCGCTCCTCTTCGTTTTCCAGCCATCCAGTCTCTTCGGATCGCACTCAATATACTCGAGCTTCTTCGATTCCGAAGGCCTCGAACGCGTCTTGAAGAAACGCAAGGAATCTCAACTGAAGTAGCTGACTACTTTTAACTCTACTTTCTGTCAGATCTACCTCCTTCGAGCGGCAGTGGACGACTGAACTGGCGGCGCGTAGCTTTGAAGGCATGGCGGACGCGCATGCTCCTCTCCTCGATCACCTGACCACGACGCGCGTAATGGAAGGGTGCCTCGTGACTGGCGCATGCGTGACGAACTGCAAAGCAATGCGCATAGCGTACTTACGATCACGTGATTGACGCCATTATTCGGCGGGACTCGACACGGTGTCACGGGGAAAATTTGGATAAGCCTCTACAATTTTATTCATTTCACTGGTCCATTTTATATTATCGAATATATATTTGCATATAGCATGCTCAGTTACTGTTCCTCTCGCGTGTGACATATAAATTATTGCTCGGAAGTGTATAAATTTGTAAAAGTAAGCGATACGATTGAGGCAACAATTTGGCCCACGCTGTATCACTCATTTTATTGTATAATTCTAGTATCGTTGGTTCTGTTATTGTGCACGTCTATTTGAGTAGTTCTATGTACAATTTACATTTCTTGGATTAGAATAATTGCACGAAATTTTATTGGGGTACGGCCAGCTTCGTACATTCAACGGTTACTCTAATAGGAGATATTAAAAAATATTCTGGAAGGTTTCGTTGTAAGCAGTAGTCTTAGTACTATCTTGGAGTTGCATTAATAACATTCTTTCATAGAACGAAGGATTAACTAGCTATTTAGAATGAGCTTTTCTGCTCATTGAATTTCCGTTTCGTTTCGTTCCGTTTCACGACTAGAACGGTGTTTGGCCCCGTTGTTACAGGGAAGAACAGTGGTGGGGGGTGATCTCGTTCAGCGCGGGATGATCATTAAACACGGGATTGAAAGGACGTGGGAAACGGAATTTAATTAAGAACGGGGAGACAGACATCGTCGATGGACAATGGGCGACGAACATAATTAGCGGATTCTGCTGGCGTCGAGGGACTGTGTCAAAACGTGTCACGATGGATCGATCGGAATGGGAACAGCCCCTCAGCATCAACCCAACAATCGGTGAGTCTTTACCATTTTTATTCGACGAACCTTCGTCAATTCAGTTTGTATAGAAATCTCGGTCAAAATATTCAATAATCAGATCAAATATTTGAGTATTGTATCAAATATTCAATGATTGCTTAGAATATTTCATTATTAAACCGTGATTAAATATGAAAATGATTCAAATTTATTACTTTCGAATTTGAATTCGAATAACTTTGGTTTTAATGGAGGAAATCCGAAGAAAGGTTCTAATTAATTCTACTTCTCTCAAGTTGCATTGAGCTGGTTTGATTGGTTCGTTAAAAATAATTAAAAAATCATATTTATTATACAATTTCTTATTTTCACAGTACATTTATTCCTATTTTAAGAAATCCTTTAATTTACAAATTTCCCGTTTGAAAAATTCGTTTATACAATATCTAATCCATTGAAACACAACTTCGATTTGGCTTAAAACTACTTTATTAAGATACCGAATAATATAACAAGTTCACATTTCGTATACTCTTATAGACTCACGCCGATCGTTGGTTGTTCATCTGCGCATCGCAGTGCGTCAGCATTGTTATCGTATTTCGCAATATATCACAGTTTATTATAGAATTTCTTACTCACTCATTACATTTATTATAAAATTTCCTAGTTGAATAGTTAATTTTTTATAAAATTCCTTAACAATTGTACTGTGATCCCAGGTGATCGTTACATGTACCTATAAAGATCAAATGAAAAGAATATTTTAATTAAATCAAAGGGGAACTGTTACACATTTCGTTTTCATGTACAAACTGAATTGACGATCGAAACATACAATATCAATGATAATTTCACATTGCATTTGATAAGACGAAGAAAAACTGTGGCTCGCAATATTTTATACACAAAGTTATTAAATACAAAATCAATGTAACAATTGTATTAAATTCTCTCATAAAAGAAATGATAGAATCGTGGTGATGACGTCACGAAACGCGAACCTCGCGTTACTGCAAGCTGACCATTGTTTGTTCATTTTTTCTCTACCGTACAAAGCACGCTAGGGATAAGTATGTAAACAACTTTGCAATCGACATGAAACCCTTATATTAACGTCGAATACTCTATATATATGAATGATTTTCTCTTGATAAAATCAAATGCTTCTATACATGTACGTTACGGGTGACTTTTTTATCTCCTAATTAGAATTTCTTATACGCAATTATTTGGAGGCTTGTTTAATTGAAAACCGTGTAGCATTATCATATTACATTCGGTGGAGGCTGGAAACATTTCCATGAACGTTTAGTAGTCAATGAATTGAAATCAGCAATTTGCAAGCCGATCCCACCCTTCCTTCGTTGTTTCCCAAAAGAAGAAATAAACTATAAACAATTCCTTTATCTCCTGGCAGTTAAATATAATAGAGAATTCTATTCTATTTCGTTTCTTCTGTGTACTTCATTTCGTGTATTTTCCAATATTCTATATTTATTTTTTAATCAAAACAATTTGATTACAAAATAAATATAAATTTTGGAAGCTCTTAATTAGTGTTTGGTCCATCTTCTATGGTAGTTAATTAATTAATTTACATTAAAGCGGACCCGACAGTTTTTCGAGTTCTCAATTTGTAACAGACAATAAATCTTTTGGATTATTCTGTTAAATGTTTAAATAATCTGTTATCGAAAACTAAGCTGAAATAAACTTATTATAGTCCAAAGATAGTAAATTTAATTAAATACTACTATATTAGTTTTTAATTATGAATTGAAAATATTGTGTGGCAAGTGTGTCTCCTTTTTTATTATTATTATTTTATCAGAAAAATTGAGATTTTTAATTATGAATTGAAAATATTGTGTGGCAAGTGTGTCTCCTTTTTTATTATTATTATTTTATCAGAAAAATTGAGAACTCGCAGGCCTTTGATAAAGGATGAATAAAGTGGAAAGGGAACTCGTAAACTTTTACGATTTCCACCTTTACCTCGAGAAATAAACGAAGAATTTCTCTATAAGCAAGTGAGAGAAATATCGAGAAAGGGTTTTGCTATTAAATGTATATTGTAATAAATAAATTGATTGAAGTCTTTGTAGAGAAATAAGGTAAAAGTATCCAGCCTGAAATATTTCTTCGTACAAATAGGATTAACTGATTAGGAATGATTCGAAGGAGTACAAAAGTTGGAGTATTTTAAATAGAAATTAGAATTAATGTATTTTTAAATAGAAATTAGAAGAATGTAATAACATTGGTTCTAATTAAGGAAATTCAATGAAATTTATAAGGAACCTTCAGGAAGGTCCTATCTAAGTGTCTTCCAAGTTTCATAAATCTATCTCCACTAGTTCGTTAGTAATAATTAATATAATTAGATACTTTTACCTTATTCATTCATTCCTGACTGTATCTCCTCCTTGGGAGATTATTCAATTGTGGCAATTTTTGCCTTGTCTCTAATTGCCCCTGGTTCCTCATTAATTGTGGAGGTAAATGGCGTGTGGTAGGCGTTACGAATTAACGCAGGCACGCGGTAATTAACCGGTGACGAAATCAAAGAGAGAGAGGTGAATAATAACGTGATTACACTCTCAGGTACTGTTTTAATTAGTTCCATTGTTAATTACATCGAATATAAGATGAACCCTATGCTAATTTCTCTCGCCTTTCGAATTACAATATTACATTGCCTATCCTTATTCCTGTTTCATATGTTTATTGCTACATGTATTACTTGTTACACTGTTACGTGTTATTATTTATGTGTGCTATTTGATGGACAATTATTTACGTGTTTTATTGCACATCGATTTGCAATTTATCTATGCTTATTTGCTGCAACTTAATGTGCAATTATTAACGTGTTTTATTGTTCTTTCAAGTTCATCACTTTAAATTGAAATAATTTTGGCTCTAATGATGAGAATTCTATGAAATTCATGAAAAACCTTCAAAAAGATCCTATCTAAATTTCTCTCAAGTTTCGTAAACCTATCTTCTCCCGTTCGTCTACATTATAAAAGTCTATAATTAAAAAAGTGGCATAACAGTTACTTAGTTTTCGATAGTTCGATTAAATAAAAAAATAAAATGCGAAATTCGATATACTCGAACGACGTTTCATCCCGCTTTAACGATGTCCTCAGTTTAATATAGATTTAATGATGTTTTCTGGGCAGCAGGGCGAAATGACAACAGGGGACGGTGGATTAATAATAATTTAATTGTACGCCGTTTGTTTAATACCGGCTAGCTTCTAGTGTCCATTAATTGCTACGCCGTTGTTAGTTTCATTATTCAACCTGATCTTTATTTTAATTACATACAAAATTCATCATATGAATTAGAAGTATTTTATATGTATATTGGTTTAATCGTAATAATTCAAAGCAGGATTTTCAGATTTTATTCAGACACTCGTCACTTGTTCCTCCTTTTATTATAATTAATAGTTAGATTTCTTTTCTATTACTCAAGAGATATTTCCTCTATTGAAGTATTGCAAAGTATTAATTTTAGTTGGCAGGAGAGTTTGTAAGAGGGTGGACGTCGCGACGTCTGGGCGCCGTATCTCGTTTCACCCCATTTACTCAGTTATTACAGTGGGAACTGGTTCAAGGCCGCTCTCATCCCCTAAAACAATTCCACACGATCTTTCCCCAGTCCCAATAAAAACTGCATAGCTTCGATTTCAACAATTCCGAGTGCAAAATCTCATTATTAAATCAAACAAAAATTGATTGACTGCAATTAATATAATAATTTGATTAGGAAATTTCGTCAAATTATATCAATTTTTATTTGATAGAAAATAAAACAGTATATTTTTATTCATTGAATCGTCTTTTACTTAAATTTTAATCATCCTTGCCGTTATGTATTGTTATCTCTTTTTGGAGTAAAAAAGTAGTAACTTTCAGTACTTGCCTTTATTTATTATCAGTGTTTCATGTGTAAAACAATTGCAATTGGAAGATTGAACGTCCAATTCAGGGTGAAACGTTTCCTTTTTCTCTTTGCTTGGTGGGTGCGTTTGTCTCTTTGACAGCACTGTTTCTGTTTCCTGTAGAACAGGAAACCGTTGGGTGGCGATAATGTAATGGAGGGGTGGGAACACCCTGTTTCATCCCTGACACAGTTGTCCTACTGTGGAAGTACAGGAAAGCCTCTTAAATACATGTCTAATCAGTCTATTAGGATTTAATTTTTAAAAATCTATTGATGAAAATTTGGAAAGAAATTGTATGCAATACTATAGGACGAGTATATGCGAAAATATTTTCAATTTCATCCAACGGTTATTTATTTTAAAAAGAAATTCATAAATATGCAAATCGGATATTTTCAGATTTTGGAGTACGACTTTCAATAATTTTTATCTCGAAATCTAACGTAGAGAAAATCCTCAAAATTTCCAAAAATCCATTACTATAGGAGTAGTACATGAGAGAATTTGTGAGAAGATGGTTTGAAAATTTTCAAATTTTTCTTTTAAACAGACCCTTTGGAATAAGAATTTTCGACATTTTTTTCTTCGATTCTAACGTATGGAATTTGATGGTAACAATTTTGTGACGTACTTCTACAGCTATAGAACATGTGTGATTTTTTAAAATTTTTCCATCCATTACTTATATTCATAATAAAATTCGTGAAAATCGGAAATTTTGGAGTTTGAGCAGTTCTAAAAGACATAACGATTGGCATACGATATTCGATAGTTTCAAGATTACTTTTGTCCATTTCTAATGAATAAAAATTGATAAAAAAGTTCAGAAATCTAGTACCATTCTAGTAGTATACGTAAGAATATTTGGAAGCTTCTCCATCGATTATTATTTATAGTAAAAAAAAAATCGGAAATAATTAAAATAGATGATTTGAAAGAGTGCAGCTTGGAATGGGGTTGAAATAATTGAACAATCGATTAGCTTGTCAATTGTATTTATTAATCTCTACAATATTCCTTATCGTACTGCTTAGAAAATATACGTACATATCGACAACGGAAACTTTCAAGCATATCTCACTAACATTAGCATTAATTAATTAATTATTTACGAATAATACCGTCGTTTCACAACATCCGTCCACGATGGCGTCAACATTCACTTTCGTTCACCAATCTTATCTAATTTTAGTTGGACATCGATAATTCAAAATACATTTAGATCGATTAATTTAATTAATTAGAGAAAAATAAAACAGTTTCTTAATTACTAAGATCGCTTAATTATACGAGGCATACACGTCTCATATAAATGTCAACCCTTTATCATTACCAAATAATAATTAACACTATTTCTACCGCAGGTGTGAAAGGACACCTTTTAAAATTTTTGCCTAAAATTATTATCATTAATATAATTGTGTTGTCTCGTTTTAATTAATTAATTTAATAATCGTTGTAGGAGAAGTCAAAAATTTAAAGGAGGAAGAAGTATTAAACTAATAATAATAATTTTAAAGGAAAATTTTAGAAGGTATCTTTCGACACCGGTAGAAGTAGTATTAAAAGAATTTTTATTAATCCCTGTATTTATTAATTAAAAATTCTTTCGTCACATTAATTATTCGCCCATGACAATTTTATTTAATTGCCCCAGTTAGATTCTAATAATTAAGATTATGAAACGTGTACGAATTTCGTAATAGAATTAATTTTGGCAGTGATAAAATACTAAAACTGTTGGACGTTTGAAATGTCCGATTGTGTTGGTTCTTTGATATGCAAAGGGTGGATGGATTTCGTAAAGGTCGATATCGTTTTCACCATCGTGGCTCACGCTCCTTTTAAATCGTTTTAATAATAACTTAAGCCGTTGCTCTGTCTTTTTAAATCCTCGTTCGATCATCGAAGAGGTCGACATTTAGAAAAGAGACGGCAGAGAATTTGATAGAGCACCATTTTATAAAAACTCTTATACCCTAGAAACCTGTGCGTTCATTTCTTAACCAGTTTAATTAACACAAGACGCAACACTCCCAAATTTAACTAAGTAAATTCATTATGAAATACAATTTATGAATTTGAATCGTAATTCATTGCATAATAAATTGGCCAATCAAATGAATGAATTAAAAAATAATTGATAATGGTTGTTGCACCTTGTTCATGTTCAATCTGTTTAATATTTGGGACACAGTTCAGGGAGTGAATTAATTAAATCGTTCGAATTAAATTTAGGAATTCGGTACAGAATTTTAATTATAGAAATATCCCTCCCNGAAAATTCCAATAATAATGTAATTTTTAAAAATATTGGCTAATCAGAATTATAAGGTATTAAATTACTTTTAATTAGTTTACTATTAAGAGTCTTCGATCAGACAATCAGAATTCAAAGATATCCATGATTAAATTAATTTGTGTCAGTTTTTCTATTAAAGACCTTCGATTAGACAAATGAAAATTAAGAAATTCTCAATTACAATGTGGATTTACTTAATAATTAACATCATTACCCCTCTTGAAACCCTCTCTATCTCTATCTCATTCTCTCTTTCTCAGTATACGATGAAAAAATATAATACAATACAATAGCTTAATCGCTACTAGCTTGGTAAATGTTAGATATGTTTCATTTTCAAATTCGCCAAATCGCCTCTTATTGTTATTAGTTAGCTTAATTAGGGAACAAGAACTTAGCTCACTTGTTAAATATCGTTGATCCTTAATTCATTACAAATTAATTTCGAACGGCCGCCGTTCGATTAAAACTAGACGAGGCTATGCTCGCGCGAGTCGTAACGATGGGTGTAGAGTATGGATGAGCTCGTCCCGATGGGCGACATCCCCGTAGATACCGGGGACATCATGTACGAATACTCGGGCGACGATACCGAACTGCGATAATGACTCTGATGAGAATTCGATGGCTTCCTCTTTTGGGAGCCGAACGATACCTAGGTGTTCTGGCCCTGTTTACGGATTTTGTTCTCCAGAACTGACGTGGGTCGACCCACGAGGTCCTCCAGTTCGTCCGGTGTCAGTACCGTGAAATCTCTACAGTAGGAGAACGTAAATTATTGAGGAGCTGGATTTAAATTTATTTGTTGGAAGTCTTCAATTGAAATTAAAAAAACTTTGGCTCTAATGAAGGGAATTCAATGAAATTTATAAGGAACTTTCAAAAAGGTCCTATTTAAGTGTCTCTGAAGTTTCATTAACCCTTTCACTGCGGCGCGATTTCGGAATAATCCATCAATATGGACGGCGCGTTATACGCACGTCGGACGCTGCGATGGCGTATATTTACATCTCTTGTATATATCGATAGGCTTCTAAGGACGTATATTTACGCCTTTCGTATATATCGATGGACTTTTCAGGACATATATTTACGCCTTTCGTATATATCGATGAACTTTTCAGGACGTATATTTACGCCTTTCGTAGTGAAAGGGTTAAGGTAGCCTAACCGGTTCGTTAATAATAATTAAAAACCCATGTAGTGTTACAGTTATTCAGTTCTTGAATTCGAAATCTGTAATCACAATTTTAATAACTTCGGCTCTAATGAAGGAAATTCAATGAGATTTATGAAAAAAACCTTCAGAAGCGTCGTATCTAACTGTCTCTCAAGTCTCATAAACGTATCTTCACCGGATCCTTAATAATAATAATTAAGAAACCACGTAGAGTATAACAGTAATTTTGTTATACCTGTGTTGTGCGAGAAGCATGTCTATGCTGGTGACACTTCTTTGATGAGTACCGTCCTTCTGGGCAGCCTTTTGCCTCTTGATACAGATAGCTCTCAGAGGAGCTAGGAACACTCCTATTAAGAGCAGGCTCGAGCCTGCAGCTATCAAAGCTGTCGAGTTCTGGGCTGCCTCTGCCCCTGGCGCTAATTGCACCAACCCTACCACCAACACCACTGCCCCTAACAGTAGAGATCCCACCACCACGTGTAGGGAATTCACCTAAAATATTATTAAAATAATGAATTAATTATTTAATATAATATAATTAGTTTAATTAGTTAATTAATTAGAATTAAAAACATTGAAAAACCATTTTTTCCACATGCTATTACTATTAGAATCTGTTCGTATCATCAATATTTATTTATTAAATTCGCCCCTATATATAATTCCTATGAAACTTATAAGAGAGGGTGACAGCATGACGTCAGAGTGTACTTAGTAGGCGTTCAGGGTTTAAAATTACTATCCTCATTTATTCTGTAGGAAGTCTGAATAAAATTGTTGACTCTCCTAAAATTGCGTGCGCTGCGAGAGGAGTTCTATTGATAAACGGGTGGGCGTAAGGGCGTGATAATTGAAGGAAAGGTCTAGTTACCTTCCCACAGAAATAGTACTCAGGCGGCTCTTTGTCGGACAACGCGAGAACCGCCTCGCTCTCGGCTAGAGGACTGCCAGGCTGGCTGCTGCCTATCCTTGAGCCCTTCTCCTGGTAGTAAGTCTTGTGAAAGACCTTTACCGAGGGCACTGGCAGCGCCGTGATCATATCTCTATAACAAATCCATCGTTTCAATTAAAACAGGAAGTGTTCTCTACATATTTTTTATCTCGGAAACTACAATTCCGATCGGAATGATTCTTGGTATTGGATTCGATGGATTCTAGGTATAGGATACATCCAGAACCCCTGTAAATGTCAGTTTCCTATTAAGAACAGATTAGAAGATATAATTTTTTACATAGCAATTTTAATATTGGGATTCAATGAAGTAATGAGGTTTTTTCTTCTCGGAATTTTTTTTCTCGGTAACTATTATAGATATTTTAATGATTCTCAGACACGTTTTAGGTACAGTGTTTCCCTAGCTTCGTGATTCTTTTCAATCACCTGCTATAAGTACTTCGATCGAAGTAAGTCGTAATATTTCTTTTTTTTCATTTTCCATGAGATTCTCTTTTGAAGAGTAGGAATAATGACCCAGTTGACTGCGTAGCGAGGCACTTGCCCGCCCCGCGACCTATTTATCGATTCGCCAACACCGAACAAAGTTCACCGTTTCCCCTTTAGACGATTCGAATAATTACCCCCACCCCCTCTCCGGCAATTCTTATCTCAAAACAATTTACAACCCTCACGATTCTTGGTCTAAGTCCAACTCAATTCCGATTGTTTGAAAGTTGATTTAGATGAATTTTTAGATATCTATATTAAAGTACAAAGTTCCAGCTTTAATTTGAGCCGCGTACGTAGTAATTGAATAATTATATGCGAGTAGTAAAACCGCGACCTTTGGCCCGTACAATTTACAAATAGTCTTCGCTGGGAATGTTCAAATTAAATTCAATTTAGGATTGAAAAATCAAAGAATGTTGTGGGGTTTGATAAGAGGATTTATTCGAGTTCATTCACACGCGAGGGGGGGCGGGTAACCTTTGTCAATCGTTGGTTAGGGGGTGGTTAAAAGTGGGACACTGGCCTGATTCCCCGGTGTCATGGCTGCGAGGCATGTGCAACCGGTGCACCCAGGCCTCTGCACCCATGTCCCCCTTGGACCTCAGCCAGAAACTACGAAAAGTACCAGCGATCAAACATTTAGGCCACTGTCCCTACATCTTCCATCCCCTTCTAAGCATTTTATGTGATTTCATATTTGCAAGCTTTATAAATGACTATAATTCCGTTTGGAAGGATTCTCAGACATGTTTCAGGCATAGGATAGATCTGATTTCGGTATAAATTTCAGCTTTCAACAATTTAGAAGGTATCATTCTTCATGTAGTACAGAATTTTAATTTCAGGATTTAATGAAATAGGGAGCTACTGGAATTTATTTCCTGAAAATTGTTAGAGTTATTTCAATAATTCTCATATATGTTTCAGATATAGGATAGATCTAATTTTGATATAAATTTCAGCTTTCTAGTGTCAATAGTGTAGAAGATATCATTGTTGTGCATATACTTAGTGTATGTAATTTCATACTTGCAAGCTTTATAAATTTTCTTCTCAGTGACTATAATTCCGATTGGAAGGGTTCTCAGACATGTTTCGGGCATAGGATAGATCTAGTTTGGGTATAAATTTCAGTTTTCTTGCGTCAATAGTGTAGAAGATATCATTTTTCATGTAGTATAGAATTTTAATGTTAGGATTTAATGAGATAGAGAGAGCTACTGGAATTTATTTCCTGAAAATTGTTAGAGTTATTTAAATGATTCTCAGATGTGTTTCAGATATAGAATAGCTCTAGATTCCCTATAAATTTCACCTTCCCCTACCATAAACATTTCCCCCGTTTCAATTTAATAATTAGCTAAATAAAATCGCATGAAATTCTTCTGAAAATTGTCAGGAGCTGAATCATACAATTGCAGTAGAATTACTCACGCTGGTTTCTAATCCAAAGCAATCCTGTCGAAGTTCCTTGGTTTAAATCCAAAATCGGCGAGTCACAATTTGGGAAGCATTGATAAACACAGGAAGATCGAATCGATTGTAAATCTAGTCTCGGAATTATTTCTGGTGTTAGCTTGGTTTACTGGATACTAGATTGTTTCTAAGTGAACGGGGTGGTGGTCCCGCGAGTACTGAACCTCTCCGCTTTCCTTAGGTCCCGCCGGTCGATAAACCAACCCCCCTTGCACCCCCTCGTTTGTGGCACGGGGTCATCCCAGACCTGCTCATCGCACCTGTAAATGCGCACCATCGAAAACCATCGCACCAATCTAATGCTTTCTCACATCGACATATTTCATTCAATCACAAATTAATTAAAATTACAATCAAATATTTTTCATTAATGATTATTGCATCCTTACATGTAATTTCGTAATAGGATTTTTATTCAATTGAATGAAGATTTTCGATCAGTAAATAGAAAAGATTTTTATAAATTAATTATTGGATAAAGGGTGAACAGAATTTTCAATATTTAGGGTGAATCAGGTGTTCAGGGTGTTCCAATAAATATTAGAAATTTTACGTAAATAATAGGATTTTTATTCAATTGAATGAAGATTTTCGATCAGTAAATAGAAAAGATTTTTATAAATTAATTATTGGATAAAGGGTGAACAGAATTTTCAATATTTAGGGTGAATCAGGTGTTCAGGGTGTTCCAATAAATATTAGAAATTTTACGTAATTTGTAATTTTTAGAATTGAGAAAAATTAGATTAATGTAAAGCCTGTAAAATTGCTTATATCGAACAATGGAAACTCGAGGTCTGATTCACCTCTGTTTAAATTTGGCTATAATTGGTTTATAAACATTGGGCGGCTCGTGCAGAGTTGAGGCGCAGATTTGTTCGCGTGAAACATAGCCTCCGCTGGTGGTTCTGGCATTCAGTACGATTATTTTTAGCCTACGGTTTTCCTCTGTTCCGAGGTATCGACGAGGTATCGATGGGAGGGACCTTCCAGGCAAGGTTGCACCCATATAGAAGCCCACTCGCCTGATTAATTAACAAAGACTAATTAAATCTCTGCGTGGAACGATGAGATTTTTGGAAAAATCTATGAAGAATATGAATAGAATCCATTTTTTGTATATAAATCCAGCTAGAAACGTTATTGTTCTATTAGCTACAAATAAGGTTTTATTTCCTGTATACAATTTTATTGTTACTTTGATAATTTCTGAGTAATTAAGGGAATTGACGATTGGTTTAATTGTTAGTGAAAACGTTTTATTAAACTCTGAAAGTTACAATATAGGTAGAGTTTTCTTTTTAATTTCCCCATATTTCATTCCAATTTGTTTCACGGTACACATACACGTATTATAAGAGATATTAGAATATTTGAGGCCTTCGATACTTAATCAACCCTCCTCGTACTTCATTTTCTAAACAATAAATCAATCGATTCATTTGTTACATAGAAATCGAATCGTCAATTTTTAATTTAATCGTTATTAGAAGAACATTGACAAAAATATTTGTTATTCAGTCTAGTACATTTCAAATTAATTAATGCGATTCATTATGTCTGTTAAGAGTTAAAATATCATCAATTGATGAATTCGTTAAATGATTTCCTTAACAAGAATTGGAGAATTGGTTAAAAATACGAGGAGGTGAATTCTCGTGTTTATTAATAAAAATTGCCCTATCGTTTCTTAATTATCTAAAGACAGTAGAAGAATCTCTAAATAGAATGTTGACACCTCGTTTAGAAAACAGGCTCGGACAATATAGTATTGTATAACAGACAAGCTGATTATAATTAGTTCGCAAAATCGTGTAGAAAAATTGTTTACAATTTGAAAAAAATCGAAGATACAGGTAAAAAATGCTAATTAGACATTCGTATAGAAAAAACTATAGCCTAATGATAATAATAATAATAATTAGACTGCAGGTATTCATGGAATATTTTTTTTCCAGTATTTTTATAAACGAAATTAAGGGTATAATTAATTTCTCAAATAGAAATTTAAATTATTCTAAATTTTAGTTCAGTTTTGATATTTTTTGTACGTATTTCACTGCACGTTGTGCTCCCTTAAATTATTAAAACTTCTCATGAATGCATGAGCACCTGCAGGCTTAATTAATAATACATATATATGTAAATGATAGGAAATGATTGAATTATGTACAAAACGGAAGATTCCTGTTTTAATTATTTGCGTTTCCCTTTAATTAATGCTAAATGGTATCACTAGCATCGGGCGTAATTCAATTCGCCCAGTGCCAAACGCTTTTTATTTCTGGATTAATGTTGTTCAGTTTTTTTTTTAACGTTGATTCTGTGTTGCCTATACGTTTTTTAATTATTTAAAATGGACCCCAAAGGTAGTCGAACGTGCACGCACCCCCTGCGTCCATTTTTATTAGAGAAATGATAATAGGCATTTAGTCGATTTCAATTTTTATTAAATTTCGGTGACATCATTTATTCAATCGTTTTAGGGATTCAATTCTAACAGTTGTACTGGATGGATGTCGATAAAAATATTCAGCTTTTCCCAAACATTATTTATATTAGATTAAAATTCATTAAGCATGCAAATCAGATTTACCAGACTTTACGAAATGCGACTTTCAATATTTTTTTCTCGTAATCTAACGTGTGTAAGTAGGAAATTCTGAAAGCTTCCAGGAATGCTTTACTATAGCAGTAGAACATGTGATAATTTTTCCAATACAATCTGAAATTTTTCAAATTTAGTACTTTTCAGATACGAATTTTCAACATTTTTACCATTTTTTTTCTCCGAAACTAGAGTATGGGATTTGATGGAAAAATTCGAAGACGTAGTGCTCTAGGATTAGTATAAATACGAATTTTTCAATTTGATCGATCGATTATTTATGTTAAAAAAAAATTGATGAAAATTGGGACAAACAATTCTTAGGTTTTGCCAGATCAGAAGATGAACACGATTTATAATATATTCCAGATTATTTTTCTCCTCCTTAATATTTTATAAAATTTACATTTCTAGCCGATGAAAATTAATGAATAAGGTCACAAATCTAGTATTATACTCGTAGTACAAATGGTAATATTTTGATATCGATTATTTATGTTAAATGAAAATCTTAAATTAATTGAATATCGAATAATCGTCGTTAATGGACGCAGGCAGTTGCCGTGGAAGAAATTTTTAACTCGTCCCCTCTTCGCAAGTATAAACACTGCAGTGTAAATAGATAATAATTTAGATATACATACATCTGTTTACTCGAAAGACATGTAATAGATTTTTCCCATATTTTTTTGTCCATTTCCAAAGGAAAAGCTTAATTTATACGTGCAGGTGCATTGTTAACATTCGTCGACAGGTTACATAATTTTTCTTATTGTGCTAAAATCCTTAGCTCCGTCGAACTTTCTTCGCATTTTTATTTTTTATTCGCTACTTCTTTTATACATATATATATATATGTATTGTATGTATGTAGATAGAATAGAGAGTCGATCCTGTAAATTGGTCGAGGAATTAGTCTTTTATAGTGATTACGAACGTTCTCTTATCAGAAAGTCCTCCCTTCAGCTTCTCGATTTTTATTTTAAACTCTCATTCAGCAAATCTTTCATTTTTAATTAATTATTTTGACAAGCACATTGGGACCTCTGGTTTGTAACATTGTTTCCCTTATCATTTCTCTTCCATTTCTATTTTTATTTAAATTCCGCAGTTTTTCAAATTCTATTTAATAAACTCTTTTGATTTCAATTAATTATTGGAATTTCTCAATACAAAATCATGTAAATTCAATTTTACTTTCGTTTAAACTGTTGGAACGTTTATTTAGTTAATTAAAGTATTTGTTTCATCGAGACGCTGAATGGGTGGAATAGAAAATAGAAAAAAGTGCACTTGCCTCAGCGATAAAACGACCCAAGCTGAGTACACGTTTACGCTTTCACGTTTCACATGATTATTATTAATATTATCGTATATTATATATATATATATATGTATCGGTGTACATACACGGTATATGTATAACGTACACGTACATTTAGTATAGGAAGTTACAAAAGATAAAACAAGTATAATATACAGACTCGAAGATCTGACAGACTTCGAATAAATTTCTGCCTCTCTCTCTCTCTCTCTCTCTCTCTCTCTCTCTTCTCGTCTCATACGCGATTTAATATCTCAGAATTTAACAATCAGATAATGTTAAAAAAAAAAATCAGTGACATATTACTGTACTAGTAGTATACATAAGAATTTTTTAAATTCCATCCACAATTTGCATTGAAAAGGAATTGATAGTTTGCAATTCCTCCCCTCGACGTTCCAAGTTGTGAGAGCAGTCATTAATTACCAATTAAACGAACTGAAGCCTCGAAGGAGAGAGTCTTGGATTATCTAATTTGGTCTGGTCGCCACAATAGCTACTTTCAATCGTTCGTTAAACTGATATCCTGTATTATTAATTGGCCTAGCTGGCCTGGTTGGATCGATCAGAGATGAACTTATTAGGCTTCGTCGGAATGAGAGCCTTGAGAGCTTCGCTTCTTCTTATGATGGTGATGATGGTAGTGGTGATGGTGATGCTGTTGCTGATGCTGTTCATGCATCAGTGCATCGGTCTCCGGTTGATTCTGGTGGCCCACTAGAAGGTCCAGGGTACCTCCGGATAAAGCTGCACCCAGTTCAGTAGTGGTTTGCGTGGCCACTGGCAAGGGAGTTGCCACTGGTGATTCGGTGGGCAGTGGCACGCAGTGCAACGCGTAGCACCGCACCCCTTGCAGGATAATCCCTGGAATTTAAGAATAAACGTGAATTTATAAGATTTTTTATAGTTTTCAAGGGGAAGAAAGTGGAAGGATAAATTAGGGAGCAATAAAGACTAGGGTGGAGGTAAATTAGGAAAAACAAAAATTTGGGAGAATCTAAACTATCAGGCCAATTATAATTATTATCAAGCCATCTAAGAATCAAATATAAAATTAAAATCCATTAACGAGCAATTGAAAGCCGTTAAGAATAATTGAATTTAATTGAGAGTATCGAGTACATATTCCTCTTTGGTCTTACCTAGTAAAAGCAAGATAGCACCAGCGATTAATAGAGCTAGCCTGTGATCCGTGGTAGTCGCACCTGGCGCGAGTTGGACCAAGCCAACCACCAGGAC